CTGTAAAAACACCAGCCAATTGTTCAGCACAGTGCTTTAACACATGTCCACTTATTTTGTCTGGGCCTGGGCTTTAGTGTGCATTACATCCCCTGAACAACTTCACAACGTCAGCCTGTTTAACAACAACCATCTCAAACATTTGTAATGATGCTTCCATTTGTTTTACCTCCGAAACAAAGTTGTCAGATTCAAATCTTGAGAAGAAAACATTCAGTTCATTAGCCATGTTCTGGCCCTCATGTCTCCCAAGGTCAGCATTGGTTTTTCCCCTGCCTATGTGGGTGGCACTAGCCATGGATTTAATCCCTTGCCAGGCCACCCTTGAGTTTCCTGAGGAGAGGGTCCTCTCCACCCTTTGCTTGTATGCCTCCTTGTCCACCAGTATCGGTATTTTGATCTCACGTTGTACATTTCTTAAAGCCTGTCTATTACCCTCAGCATAAACTGCCTTCTTCCTATTAAGTAGTGATTTTATATTTTTTGACACCCAAGGCTTATTGTTAGGGAAGATTTTACAGGTTTTAGTAGGCACAACTGACTCAACACAGAAGTTTGTCATCAAGATCAGAGCAGCTGTCCTCAAATAACTCAAATACCTCCCACATAGTACAGTCAAAACACCCTTGGAGATGAGTGATACTATGTTCCAGATCTGGACAGTTTTAACTGTAGGTTTCTCCCTCTCCATGAGCCAACAGTAGGTTGGCCTGAGGTAGCCAACATTGTGGTCTGATGTCCCCAGGGGAGGTCTGGTGGTGGCAGAGAAAGCATTTGGTATTGTCCCATAGCACAAATCAAGAGTCTTATTTTTCCTAGTGTGACATTTCACATACTGGTGGTAGGTGTGCAGGACCTTGTGCAAAGTACAGTTGTTAAAATCCCCTAAAATAAATGTGGGTGCGTCGGGGGAGATAGATTCCAGTTTCTGTGACAGATTATAAATAATCTCTGATGCTTTTGCTATATTATCTTTTGGTTGAATGTACACAACAGTAACAAACAATTGGGGGAACTCACGGGGCAGATAGTAGCGTGGCAGTGACACAGAAAGCAGTTCAATGTCGGGGGTAGAGTCTCTCTCTTACCAGGATCGATTTACACCACTGGTCCCTGACAAGCAGGCAGACGCCCCCGCCGTGATGTTTCCCTGTGACGGTTAGATCATGAGCCGGCCGGCTCCACTTCCCTGTCCGGGACTCTGTCATCCAGCCAAGTCTCAGTAAACACCAGCAAACAGGCTTCCCGGAATTTGTGTTGGAAGCGCAGATTCGCTGACAGCTCATCCACTTTCCCCCTCAGTGACTGGGCATTGATCAGCAAGGTGGTGGGTATAAGGGAAGTTTGTTCATTAATTTTTGTCTGATTCCCCCGCATTTACCACATTTGCATTTGGGTTTGTAATCCACTCGCAGACAATTGGGGATTAGATGGGCCATTGGGATATCCATCGCGTTCGTGTTTGAGTTGCATTGTAGTAGGAACTCTCTGCTGTATTGGATTCTGCTATCAGCAGCGTTTTCATAATTTAGTCCATCTGTAGTGGGTATGTACATGATCAACAAGATCAGTCCAACACCCCACCACTGTAAAACCATCACTGACAGATGGTTTACAAACAGTGTACAAATCAAAAACATAAAAGAACGCCACACCAAACTTCACACACACTGTCGCCCCCCTCCACTCTGGTCAGCAGGTTACCGTTCTGGTCCAGCTGGGCGATTACTTTCTTGCTTCCGTCTTTGTGCCTCCAGACCCCCTCCTCTCTGGTCACCTTCCCTCCGTTGGGGCTGATGGATAGTGCTAAGCTCCTCAGGTGCAGTTTGGTCTCCATGTTGATGGATATGAGCGCTTGTAGCAGCCACTCCGCAAACTGGAGGTCCTTTCCTAGCGCACAGCCCACCAGGCTGAGAGTGTGTAGATGCCTATCTACTATCTTCATGGCCGCCACGACTTTGGCAAGTTCCTCTGGCCCATAACTCCCTAGTCTGGCCACCCCATCACTGCCCTTACTGCCATGACCCACCAGTACCACAGGGCTGTCTCTGGTCAAACAGGCCTGAGGAGTGTAAAGACATTGAGACAACCTCTAATAACCCTGTTTTTACTTTCACCACCAAATTGTTTTCAAACCACCATCACCATCACAGTACTTCCTTACTATAATATGGCTACCACTGACATTTCCAAACAGCCTACACTGTGACTTAGATGTGATAAGGGCTTTCATAGGCCACAACATGGCACTATCGGGCACTGCACAGACTTTCCCAGGCTTGACACGCTCATGTTAATCAGCACTGGTCTTTTCAGTTGGTGGCAGTCTGTACCTGACAAACCAAAACTTGGTTAATAAAAATACCAATGTCTTCATAGTTCTCATTTTTAACAAGATGATTTAGGCATGTTATTTGGATTATGCTACAAAGGCCCTACCACTCCCATTGTTTTGTACCCTATGATGCTTATCAAACCTGGTTAATTCAAATACTAAATTGAAAACAATAAATAATGCATGTTACACAATTTAAATAACTGCATTCAACACACATTTTGAAATAGATTCTGGCCAACAGAATATATATACAGTAATATGATCTCTTTGTCATTTTTTTTTTTTTTATGTAACCTAACTTGATATATTTTCAGGTAAGGTAAGGTTATCATCAATACCCTCACCCCCTTCTTTTAATTTTTTTGTCATTTAGCAGACGCTCTTATCCAGAACGACTTACAGGAGCAATTAGGGTTAAGTGCCTTGCTTAAGGGCACATCGACAGATTTTTCACCTAGTCGGCTCGGGGATTAGAATCAGCGACCTTTCGGTTACTGGCACAACGCTCTTACCCACTAAGCTACCTGTCGCCCTTTTGATGCTTATGTTTTGCTCATTGTCTACTGTTATATCTGACTCTCTGGCACAAAATATATTGAAATATGTCTCTTCAACTGACCACTGCCTAGACAAAAATCATATTATTTCGGAGATGGTACTACTCGGACAAATTACTACTGACATGGTCAGGTAATTTCTACTGTAAAAAAAAAAATTATATATATATATATTTTGCAAAATACAATAATTCTAGACTAGATCAAAACAACATACAAACCCAATGAATTTCCCCACAAATAAATGCATGTTGTCTAAGAGGAAATGTATTTATCTCACTTGCAACAACAGGCTTTGGGGTCAAAGATGACTGAAAGATGAAGATTTAACCAGATAAGGAAGAGGGTAAAGCTAACATGACATAGTATAGCAGAGAAAGTGGGGATTGAACTAAAAGCATATACCTAACCTTGGGTTACACTTTACAATAAGGTTCCATTTGTAAATGGTTTCTAAACGGTTTGTAATTACGTTAATAACGGTTATTTAATCATTTGTAAATGCATTATAAACCATTAATAAATGGGTTATAACACATTGGTCAAAATAGTGAGCTAGCCAGTCAGTGCTTGCCAAATAGTGAGCCACTATTTACCTCCAGCTATTAATCATTTATAAATGCACTTACAAATGCGTATAATATTGAACCCGTATGTATCATCATGCAACCTTATTTTCAATGGTTGCACAGTTAAACAATAGTTATTTTCTCACTTTTGGGTGTGATGCATTGTTGCTCTGTCCCAGGAATAGTAATGGTTGGTTTTCAGACCAATGGTCAACTCCAATGACGTGACTTGCCCCACGTTTGAAACCCTGATGATGCATATGGAAAATAGACCTCATCTGAAGATCTCAAACCATATTATTGGGGTGGTTCGCTGGTTTCGGAGAAATTCTGCCGACTTTGTTAGATCTGCCCATCTGTGAAACCTGAAACGTATCCAGAATGTTGTTGACACTAAAAACGTATCTGGAGATCGTTTATAAGCGCCACTGAACGGGCATTTAACTTTTCTGTAAAGGAATCCCGCTTCTGAAGCGAGACTAACGTCCATCACTAGGCACCAAGAACTGTCAATCGAATGATCTCGAGCTGCCTGCGCGCATACCACGCGCTCCTAAGAAAAGTACTTTGAAGTTTGTTAAATACAATGACTTACCAATACATTTAGTAGAAAGAAAACATCTATCTACACTACCCTGTAAAAAACTGCAGAAAAACAATACAACAACACATCAATCAGCAACGTGTATTGTTGTCAGGAAAACATTCCATGCTGGAGCAGAATTCTACTGTCTAAGAAAAGGTACTTATGCTTCTGATGCCGCACAGTTCTTACTAAAAACTCTGGATGGAACATTGAACCATAACCAGATCAGCAACATGTCTTCAAAAACGATCTGATTGGATATTATCGAACGCAAACTATCTCACCTACCACCTACATACATTCATTGGCTAGATAGAAAGGAGGCGGGCTTTATGGTAGGCTAGTCGTCATCGCAGGGGAGGAAGAGCAAGACGGCCATCTTCGTGAGGTCGAAAGATTGCGTGTTAAAGGTAATTCTTCAAGTTATACACTTTTAAAATACAAACTGCACAACCTTATACTATATGTGTTAATAGTCAAACTGTTGTTGAAGTATGGACAGCAAAGACGGCAGTCAGCTTCAACCACAGTCGTTTCTGAGCTAGCCAGTCGTTAGCTAGCTTGCTGGCTTACAACTTCTGTACGTTAGCTAGCTAGCTAACAGTCTGACTGCTGGAAATGAATGTGTTTTGCGGCGATGATATTGCCACTGTGAAAAATAACATGCAATGGTTGTTTGCTAACAATGGTCAACAACCAAATGAACTCCTGAGTCAGCAATCGTGTTTTCTTTTTATGATGAAACAAGCGCTTTCCAGGCAAGGCAAATTGCGCGAGTTTGACTGACTAGATGTGCTCGATTTAGTTTGAAGGCTAGCCGGGTGGGCGTGGTGTACATTTTTGGGACCATTCCATCGGATGGCACGTCGGGCGGTGACATAAATCGAGTGCTCCTCCTTTTATTTATTGGCGCAAGCACAAATGAAATGGGTCTGGACCATAAATAACGAATGAATGCGCACGGTTTAGAATTTGGGAATAGCAGTAGACTACAGCACAGGTACCTTCATTGTCACAGAATCACTATGTTTCGTGTTATGACAAATTTATTTAATTAACCCTTAAATATATAAATATTTTATTCAAACTAATTAAGTACCATATAAGTTAATGTGTAGGGGTACGTCAGAGAATGGTTTATCTATAGATGGCTGTAATAACAAATGTTTTGCCCCCTCAGCTTTCCAGCTATCTTGCTCAGATGCCTAGACACTGCTCCGCAGGTGGATGCAAATCCCGTGACACCAGGGAAAATCGTAAGGCTGGCATTACCTTTCACAGGTAAGTGGATCCAATCTAATTTTACCTAACCATTAAGACTGTGGGCTCTATTTTCGGATGGCGCTAAGGAGACGCAAGTGTCAAACACATGTTAGTTTGCAATTTTGTCATGTAAAAACTGTTGCAATTGCATTTTCCAGCCCTAACAGCAGGTTTGGCAATTTACCTGTATAATGTCAGCTCGCTTACGCTGAGGTGGGAGGGGTGGCAATATTTGAGGTGTGCCTTAAAAACAAGTGCAAAAGTGAACATTTCATGCAGCACTAATGGGAAGTTTTAAGACCCACAAAAAGCAGGTCTTAACGGTAACGCAGTTAATAATGCCATGTATTTTGAGAGTGGAAGCGCAGCCTATCCAGCCATGATGCACAGTGCCCATGGAATGAGATACGTTTATTTTGTGCTGGTGATTTTCATAGGCTCGTATTTAGAAACATAAAAACGAATGGTTTCCCCCCATTTTGTTTAATTTGATTAAAAACGAAGCATAGCCTCCCCTCCCCTTATTAAATGCTGGTTTAGTAGCATAGCATACAGTGGGGAAAAAAAGTATTTAGTCAGCCACCAATTGTGCAAGTTCTCCCACTTAAAAAGATGAGAGGCCTGTAATTCTCATCTTAGGTACACGTCAACTATGACAGACAAATTGAGGAAAAAAATTCCAGAAAATCACATTGTAGGACTTTTAATGAATTTATTTGCAAATTATGGTGGAAAATAAGTATTTGGTCACCTACAAACAAGCAAGATTTCTGGCTCTCACAGACCTGTAACTTCTTCTTTAAGAGGCTCCTCTGTCCTCCACTCGTTACCTGTATTAATGGCACCTGTTTGAACTTGTTATCAGTATAAAAGACACCTGTCCACAACCTCAAACAGTCACACTCCAAACGCCACTATGGCCAAGACCAAATAGCTGTCAAAGGACACCAGAAACAAAATTGTAGACCTGCACCAGGCTGGGAAGACTGAATCTGCAATAGGTAAGCAGCTTGGTTTGAAGAAATCAACTGTGGGAGCAATTATTAGGAAATGGAAGACATACAAGACCACTGATAATCTCCCTCGATCTGGGGCTCCACGCAAGATCTCACCCCGTGGGGTCAAAATGATCACAAGAACGGTGAGCAGAAATCCCAGAACCACACGGGGGGACCTAGTGAATGACCTGCAGAGAGCTGGGACCAAAGTAACAAAGCCTACCATCAGTAACACACTACGCCGCCAGGGACTCAAATCCTGCAGTGCCAGACGTGTCCCCCTGCTTAAACCAGTACATGTCCAGGCCCGTCTGAAGTTTGCTAGAGTGCATTTGGATGATCCAGAAGAGGATTGGGAGAATGTCATATGGTCAGATAAAAACAAAATAGAACTTTTTGGTAAAAACTCAACTCGTCGTGTTTGGAGGACAAAGAATGCTGAGTTGCATCCAAAGAACACCATACCTACTGTGAAGCATGGGGGTGGAAACATCATGATTTGGGGCTGTTTTTCTGCAAAGGGACCAGGACGACTGATCCGTGTAAAGGAAAGAATGAATGGGGCCATGTATCGTGTGAAAACCTCCTTCCATCAGCAAGGGCATTGAAGATGAAACGTGGCTGGGTCTTTCAGCATGACAATGATCCCAAACACACCGCCCGGGCAACGAAGGAGTGGCTTCGTAAGAATCATTTCAAGGTCCTGGAGAGGCCTAGCCAGTCTCCAGATCTCAACCCCATAGAAAATCTTTGGAGGGAGTTGAAAGTCCGTGTTGCCCAGCGACAGCCCCAAAACATCACTGCTCTAGAGGAGATCTGCATGGAGGAATGGGCCAAAATACCAGCAACAGTGTGTGAAACCTTGTGAAGACTTACAGAAAACGTTTGACCTGTGTCATTGCCAACAAAGGGTATATAACAAAGTATTGAGAAACTTTTGTTATTGACCAAATACTTATTTCCACCATAATTTGCAAATAAATTCATTAAAAATCCTACAATGTGATTTTCTGGATTTTTTTTCCTCATTTTGTCTGTCATAGTTGACGTGTACCTATGATGAAAATTACAGGCCTCTCTCATATTTTTAAGTGGGAGAACTTGCACAATTGGTGGCTGACTAAATACTTTTTTCCCCCACTGTAGGTGTCTTTTTATCCTGGCCATTAGCCAAGTAGTCTATGAATAAAGGGGTTTTAAATAGTCTACTGAGAGTGCTTTGAAATATTGTGGAGGTTTTTGCCCTCATGCTTTTTCATTATTCACAATTCACATAGGCTACTAGCATACTTCTTTTTGCTTGTTCATCCCCATTTTCAAAGAGCGCCCCTCGTCGGATTACCAAAGACACGCTCAAGTCCAAACTATTGTCCTCCTATAATGCTATATCAATGGCAGATTTTTTAAAGAATCTGCCTTGCACATAGGCAACGATACAATTGACAGGAGCCTAGTATTTTGTATAGAGGTGCGAATGTTCTGCGTAAAGATATTTAGGCCTGCGTGTGCACAGAGTTCCATGGAACGAGAGAATCGATTTCTTTTCATTTTTATGACCGATCCTATTTAGAAATATCGTTGTTGGTTTAAAAAACAAGGTTTTCGTCAAATTAAAATAAAGATTCACCGTCCATGGGTTTATGGTGTGCACGTACATGGCTCGAATGTAATGCTATTTCTGGAGAAGTTAAAATATGATCTGTAAAATGGTTCCATTATGTTTATTAAACATTACATTTGCGAGCAGTATAACAGTGAGTGGACATTTCCCCTTTGTCTTTATATTGGATCTTTATCCAGCCTCTTTGAAAAGTTTGGATGTGCGTCAAACACTCCATAGTCTAAGATGCCTTGTCTGTATTATATGCCCACGGGGAGCAATTATGGTGCCTGTAACAGTATTTAGACATTGAAAACAAGTTATTGTTTCATTTTTATTAGAATGTGATTAGAGTTATACACTGTCTTTTTAGGCCTTATCAATAGCCTAGTGAATTTAATCTTGCTTATTGACTACGTTTGGCATCAATATCATCAATGTCCTTGTCCGTACTGCAATTTACAGTCGGCCTAGCCCCTATATCAGTCCGAATGCTATAGCCTATGTTTAAAAATATACAGTGAGCTCCATAATTCACTGGACAGTGACCATTCTTTTGTTATTTTGGTTCTGTACTCTAGCACTTTGAGTTTGAAAGGATACAATGACAATGAGGGTGTAGTACAGACTGTCAGCTTTAATTTGAGGGTATTTTCATACATATCGGATGAACCGTTTACGAATTATAGAAGCTTTTGTACATGGTCCCCCCCCATTTTCGGGCATCAAAAAACATTGGACAGTTTAACATAATATAGAATAAAGTAATCATTGTTAATATTTGGTCGCATATCCTTTGCATGCAATGACTGCTTGAAGTCTGCGATGCATCGCCATCACCAGACGCTGGGTATCTTCCCTGGTGATGCTCTGCCAGGCCTGTACTGCAGCCATCTTAAGTTCCTGCTTGTTTCGGGGACTTATTGCCTTAAGTCTCCTCTTCAGCATGTAAAATGCATGTTCAATTGGATTCAGATCTGGTGATTGACTCGGCCAGTCAAGGATTTTCCACTTTTTGGTCATCAAAAACCCCTTTGTTGCTCTAGCAGTATGTTTAGGGTCATTGTCTTGTTGCATGATTAAGTGCCGTCCAATGAGTTTGGAGGCATTTGGTTTTATCTGAGCAGATAAAATATTTCTGTAGACTTCAGAATTCATTGTTCTACTTCTGTCTGCAGTCACATCATCGATGAAGACAAGTGAGCCTGTTCCACTGGCAGCCATACAGGCCCAAGCCATAACACCCCCTCCACCATGTTTCATGGATGAGGTGGTATGCTTTGGATCATGGGCATTTCTTTTTTTTCTCCACACTTTTGTCTTTCCATCACTCTGGTACATGTTAATCTTTGTCTCATCTGTCCACAATACTTTTTTTCCAGAACTCTTGGGGCTCTTTTAGGTGCTTTTTAGCAAACTGTAATCTTGCCTTTCTGTTCTTCAGGCTTATCAGTGGTTTGCATCTTGTAGTGTACCCTCTGTAGTCCTGCTGGTGTAGTCTTCTGCGTATGGTAGACTTTGACACATCTACACCTGCATCCAGCATAGTGTTTTTGATCTGTTGGGCTGTTATCAGGGGTTTTTTCTTCACCATAGAGAGTATTCTCCGGTCATCCACTACAGTGGTCTTCCTCTGTCTACCGGGTCTTTTGACATAATTGAGTTCACCGGTTGTTTTTTTCTTGTTAATGATGAACAAAACTGTTGACTTGGGCATGGCCAGGGTTTTTGCAATGTTCCTGAATGATTGATTTTCATTTCTGAGCCTTATGACGGCCAACTTCATTTGCATCGACACTGCTGTCTTCCTCATGTTGTCACACCCCAATAACAACCTCCAAAGGCAATAGCAACGTCTAGAATCATTACTATTCATCAACAGCTCTCCTGCATTCACTAACGACACAAATGAATACACCTGCCTAACGACACACATCTGTGAAGCCAATTTAACAAATACTTGTAGTACCTTAAAATGGGGGGACCATGTACAAAAGGTGCTGTCATTTCTAAACGGTTCATCCGATATGTATGAAAATACCCTCAAATTAAAGCTGACAGTCTGCACTTCACGCTCATTGTCATTGTATCCTTTCAAACTCAAAGTGCTAGAGTACAGAACCAAAATAACAAAACAATGGTCACTGTCCAATGAATTATGGAGCTCGCTGTATTTCCATAATGAAGCAAAGCAATTAGAACATTGTGGACTGCAAACATGTTAAACATATTTAGCAAATATGGGGCAGGCTATTTAACAAACTAGGCTATAACGGACTAACATTCTAATTGGTGTTGATGACAACGCAATACAGAAAAGACCGTAAATACACAACTTGGAGCAATAACATATTTATTCATGGAGCATGTTCTGATTGGCCAGCGAGGGGCAAGCCTCGACACATGCACAACTTGTTTATTCATCAAAACCCAGCCATTTCGCACCACCGGCAGCTACTGTGCCCATAATTCCAGTTGTGAAAATAGCAAAAATATTTCTCACACCCCCGATCCTATAACACCACCACTAAGATTGACCATTGTGTTAGATTTGTTAAAATAGAGCCCTGTGACTTGTACAGGGCATTTGGAAAGTATTCAGACCCCTTCCCTTTTTGCAAATGTTGTTACGTTACAGCCTTAATCTAAAATTGATTAAATTATTTTTTCCCTCATCAATCTACACACAATACACACGATGAAACCAAGATTGAACTTTTTGGCCTGAATGCCAAGCGTCACGTCTGGAGGAAACCTGGCACCATCCCTACGGTGAAGCATGGTGGTGGCAGCATCATGCTGTGGGGATATTTATCGGCGGCAGGGACTGGGAGACTAGTCAGGATCGAGGGAAAGATGAACGGAGCAAAGTACAGAGAGATCCTTGATGAAAACCTGCTCCAGAGCACTCAGGACCTCAGACTGGGGCGAAGGTTCACCTTCCAACAGGACAATGACCCTAAGCACACAGCCAAGACAACGCAGGAGTGGCTTCGGGACAAGTCTCTGAATGTCCTTGAGTGGCTCAGCCAGAGCCCGGACTTGAACCCGATCGAATATCTCTGGAGAGACATGAAAATAGCTGTGCCGCTCCCCATCCAACCTGACAGAGCTTGAGAGGATCTGCAGAGAAGAATGGGAGAAACTCCTTAAATACAGGTGTGCCAAGCTTGTAGGGTCATACCCAAGAAGACTCGAGGCTGTAATCGCTGCCAAAGGTGCTTCAACAAAGTACTGAGTAAAGGGTGTCTTGACGTGACTTATATTAATATGGTGACTGTTATTTATCGAATCAACTAACTATGTTTAATTGTCACTTGATTAAATTAAGTCATGTAACAATTAACTCATTAGGAATTTGGGGCACCACGGAAGAAGTTGTTTAATGAGTTACCATCTCCAGAATTAAACTCTTAGAAGATATATGTTATATACCGATAAGACACTTATTCAATAATTACCTCTTATCAGTCTCATTCTGAACTTTGCATAATGCTTGAACCTGCAAGAACCCTAACCTTACTGATGAATCAGCAATATACAAATTGGCTTAATTATGACATTTACATTTAAGTCATTTAGCAGAAGCTCTTATCCAGTGCGACTTACAAATTGGTGCGTTCAACTTAGGATAGCCAGTGGGACAGCCACTCCCCTTCTTTTTTTTTATGTAGGGGAGGGAGGGGGGGGTAGAAGGATTACTGTTATACAATTCCAGGTATTCCCTTAAAGAGGTAGGGTTTCAAGTGTCTCCAGAAGGTGGACAGTGAATCCGCTGTCCTGGTGTCGTGGGGGAGCTTTTTCCACCATTGGGGTGCCAGAGCAGCGAATAGCTTTGACTGGGCTGAGCGGGAACTGTGCTTCCGTAGAGGTAGGGGGGCTAGCAGGCCAGAGGTGGATCAACGTAGTGCCCTCGTTTGGGTGTAGGGTCTGATCAGAGCCTGAAGGTAAGGAGGTGCCATCCCCCTCACAGCGCCGTAGGCAAGCACCATGGTTTTGTAGTAGATGCAAGCTTCAACTGGAAGCCATTGGAGTGTGCGGAGGAGCGGGGTGACATGAGAGAACTTGGGAAGGTTGAACACCAGACGGGCTGCAGCGTTCTGGATAAGTTGTAGGGGTTTAATGGCACAGGCAGGGAGCCCAGCCAACAACAAGTTGCAGTAATCCAGACGGGAGATGACAAGTGCCTGGATTAGGACCTGTGCCGCTTCCTGTGTAAGGTAGGGTCGTACTGCGAATGTTGTAGAGCATGAACCTACAGGATCGGGTCACCGCTTTGATGTTAGCGGAGAATGACAGGGTGTTGTCCAGGGTCACGCCAAGGTTCTTTACACTCTGGGAGGAGGACACAATGGAATTGTCAACCGTGATGGCGAGATCATGGAGCGGGCAGTCCTTCCCCGGGAGGAAGAGCAGCTCCGTCTTGCCGAGGTTCAGCTTGAGGTGGTGATCCGACATCCACACTGATATGTCTGCCAGACATGCAGAGATGCGATTCGCCACCTGGTTATCAGAAGGGGGAAAGGAGAAAATTAATTGTGTGTCGTCTGCGTAGCAATGATAGGAGAGACCGTGTGAGGATATGACAGAGCCAAGTGACTTGGTGTATAGAGAGAATAGGAGAGGGCCTAGAACTGAGCCCTGGGGGACACCAGTGGTGAGAGCACGTGGTGCGGAGACAGATTCTCGCCACGCCACCTGGTAGGAGCGACCTGTCAGGTAGGACGCAATCCAAGAGTGAGCAGCGCCGGAGGTGCCCAACTCGGAGAGGGTGGAGAGGTGGATCTGATGGTTCACAGTATCAAAGGCAGAAGATAGGTCTAGAAGGATAAGAGCAGAGGAGAGAGTTAGCTTTAGCAGTGCAGAGAGCCTCTGTGACACAGACAAGAGCGGTCTCAGTTGAATGACCAGTCTTGAAACCTGACTGGTTTGGATCAAGAAGGTCATTCTGAGAGAGATAGCAGGAGAGTTGGCTAGAGACGGCACGCTCAAGAGTTTTGGAGAGGAAAAGAAAGAAGTGATACTGGTCTGTAGTTGTTGACATCGGAGGGATCGAGTGTAGGTTTTTTGAGGAGGGGTGCAACTCTCGCTCTCTCGAAGACGGAAGGGACATGGCCAGCGGTCAAGGATGAGTTGATGAGCGAGGTGAGGTAAGGGAGAAGGTCTCCGGAAATGGTCTGGAGAAGAGAGGAGGGGATAGGGTCAAGCGGGAAGGTTGTTGGGCGGCCGTCCGTCACAAGTCGCAAGATTTCATCTGGAGAGAGAGGGGAGAAAGAAGTCAAAGCATAGGGTAGGGCAGTGTGAGCAGGACCAGCGGTGTCATTTGACTTAATAAATGAGGATCGGATGTCGTCAACATTCTTTTCAAAATGGTTGACGAAGTCATCCACAGAGAGGGAGGGGGGAGGAGGAGGAGGATTCAGCAGGGAGGAGAAGGTGGCAAAGAGCTTCCTAGGGTTAGAGGCAGAGGCTTGGAATTTAGAGTGGTAGAAAGTGGCTTTAGCAGCAGAAACAGAGGAAGAAAATGTAGAGAGGAGGGAGTGAAAAGATGACAGGTCCGCAGGGAGTCTAGTTTTCCTCCATTTCCGCTCGGCTACCTGGAGCCCTGTTCTGTGAGCTCGCAATGAGTCGTCAAGCCACGGAGCAGGAGGGGAGGACCGAGCCGGCCGGGAGGATAGGGGACATAGAGAGTCAAAAGATGCAGAAAGGGAGGAGAGGAGGGTTGAGGCAGCAGAATCAGGAGATCGGAGGGAGAAGGATTTAGCAGAGGGAAGAGATGATAGGATGGAAGAGGAGAGAGTAGCGGGAGAGAGAGAGCGAAGGTTGCGACGGCACATTACCATCTGAGTAGGGGCAGAGTGAGTAGTGTTGGAGGAGAGCGAGAGAGAAAAGGATACAAAGTAGTGGTCAGAGACTTGGAGGGGAGTTGCAGTGAGATTAGTAGAACAACAGCATCTAGTAAAGATGAGGTCAAGCGTATTGCCTGCCTTGTGCGTAGGGGGGGATGGTGAGAGGGTGAGGTCAAAAGAGGAAAGGAGTGGAAAGAAGGAGGCAGAGAGAAATGAGTCAAAGGCAGACGTAGGGAGGTTAAAGTCACCCAGAACTGTGAGGGGTGAGCCATCCTCAGGAAATGAACTTGTCAAGCTCATTGATGAACTCTCCAAGGGAACCTGGAGGGCGATAAATGATAAGGATGTTAAGCTTGAATGGGCTAGTGACTGTGACAGCATGGAATTCAAATGAGGAGATAGACAGATGGGTCAGGGGAAAAAGAGAGAATGTCCACTTGGGAGAGATGAGGATTCCTGTGCCACCACCGCGCTGACCAGATGCTCTCGGGTATGTGAGAACACATGATCAGACGAGGAAAGAGCAGTAGGAGTAGCAGTGTTTTCTGTGGTAATCCATGTTTCTGTCACTGCCAAGAAGTCGAGGGACTGGAGGGTAGCATAGGCTGAGATGAACTATGCCTTGTTGGCCTCAGAACGGCAGTTCCAGAGGCTGCCGGAGACCTGGAACTCCACGTGGCTCGTGCTCGCAGGGACCACCAGATTAGAGTGGCAGCAGCCACGTGGTGTGAAGCGTTTGTATGGCCTGTGCAGAGAGGAGAGAACAGGGATAGACAGACACATAGTTGACAGGCTACAGAAAAGGCTACAATAATGCAAAAGAGATCCGAATAAAATTAACTAAACATCTGGGGAAGCGAGAGAGCGGGACCTCCCTCACTTACCTTTCACTGAAACACTCAAATATAACTCTCCCAACTTCCACTTTAGAAATTATAATTGTTGTAAACTACAGCGGTTCAATATTTTCTAGGAATAGACTCTAACTTAGTTTATTCAGCTAGCTAATTTGGTACAGTATTCTTCCGTGAAAACCGCCCAGGGCACCGTATCCTATGACGCCATAGCTAACTAGCATGCTAGCTTCCAATAACACATGTTTAGCACCAATACTCGGTTACAACAAACTACCAATAGTGTGTTAACACACTAAACAGATCATTCATGTCCATGTCTAACGTTGTGTAAAGTTTTGGGTTAGTTTTGACAGTTTGAGTGAGTACGTCATCAATTTATTCAGCCAGTTTGTTAGCTAGCTAGAATAGTTAGCATATTAGCTAGCCATCGCTCTCTGTCAACGAACCAACCCCTCCTCCCACGGTATGAAACCCACAGAGAGAGTCAAGCTAACGTTAACTAGTCACCCTTGTCTTGAATTCCTTTTAAACGACTCCGGTTACCAGTATGTAAAAATAAAATAAAAAATAAGTGTAGGTTATAAACTTACCCTTAGTAGCTACTGTTAGCTAGTTAAGTGTAAAGCTAGCTACTGAATCAATTTAGCTAGTTCACGTCTGTCCCAACGGAGAGAAGCGTCTCCAAATGCAGAAGCCCGGTTAATACAAACATATCTTACCAAGCCAACTAGCTAGTTAGTTATCTATAATTGTTTTAGATTAATTCCAAATTAGGACCAACTGTTCTATTGGTCATCTAGTTGCCAGTTTGTGGGGATAACGTTACTTGTAAACATTACAGTTAGGTCGTTCCAGCTGTTGTTTAGTTAGCTATCCAGGTAGCAACAAGCTAGCTACATTTTGAGTACAGTAGCTACATACATTCCATTCTCTTCATTAGTCCTGTTCCTCTTAAAAGGTTATTTATTTACTAACTAACTAAATAATAACCACACACACAGAGGTTATTGATTACTAATGTAATACAATGAAAACAGGTCCCTAGTGGACTGGAATAACAATAGCATGAATGCTTGGGTAGAAGGAGGGTTGGCTGATTCAGAGAGAGGGGGGGGGGGGGGGGGAAGTAAGAGACAAAGGAATTCACCTATCGGACATTTGTAAACTACTTCACGCTTCCTGGTCTAATGTTGATTTGTTTTTCAAGGCTTTTTATGCCCTCGTGGTAAAAGGGGCGTTCCATCATGTTTGTGCTCATCTGGGTGTGGCCACTGACTGAGAACAAATCAATATGGAAAACAATCATCTCATCTAGAATGCTAAAATCACATTGTTATCTTCACAAAAGTATTATTATACTTAATAATTTGTTTTATACAACAATTAGATGCAAACCTCATAACTGGGAAGTGTACACCCCCAGAGATACAGTTATGTTGTTCCACCGTCTTTAATGACATCACAACATAGTAACGAATTTCACAGGATTGTTCTTTAAGTCCCCACCGACCATTTCCCACATTCTTTGAAGTAGGAATATTGTTTCATTATCCACTTTTGGATGTTGGAGTCTTGGCGGGAAGACTTCCTCTGTTCCACAGGGAATTCCCTCTCCCAATACTGCATGGCACGGAAAATAAAGTTTCTGCAAGGAATTTACGACCTGTCATAAAACTGGCCGCCAGGAGAGGGGGTGTTCAAACATTTGCCTAGCCGGCATCTTTGCTCCTCAGCCCATGAGGGCAAGTCATGACAAGGGTCTGAATACTTATGTAAATGTAATATTTCAGTTTTTTATTTTGAATAAATTTTGAACAAAATCAGCAGGGGATCAAATACTTTTTTTCCCCCTCACTGTATACAGAAGATTTTTAAATGAACACGTTTCTTCTGCTTAACCATGTGCATGCTATGTATTACTTTGCCATGCATATTATTGCAAGTCTTCATTAAGTTCCTGTGGTTGCCAGGTTGCCAAAGCGCGGAACCCCACGCCGGGACCTATGGATCATCAACTCACACCGCAAGGGCCCACAAGGCCAGGGGCCATGGGACCCCCAGAGCAACTTCATCTATTTCTGCTCCAAGCACTTCACCCCAGAGAGTTTTGAACTCTCAGGAGTTAGGTATGTAGTGTCTCTTCCAACTTATAGAGGGCAGTGTTTACCTCAGAATTCCATAGATTAGGTGATATTGTACTGTATCTCTAGTGCCTAGTTTACCTCTGGAGAAACTTCAGCCTAACTGTCAGGGTGATTATGTATTGATGGATAGCGTTACAGTTTATCCCCTTAATCAACATTTTGGGGGGATTGTCTGTATAAGGACTGAAATGAAAGAAAATGCAATAAATTGCAAAGTAAGCTTAGTGCTGTTGATATTGATACAGAGATACACTATTTATACAAAAGTATGTGGACAACCCTTCAAATTAGTGGATTTGGCTATTTCATCCACACTCATTGCTGACAGGTGTATAAAATCGAGCACACAGACATGCAATCTCCGTAGACAAACATTGGCAGTAGAATGGTCTTACTGACGTGACTTTCAACGTGGCACCATCATAGGATGCCACCTTTCCAACAAGTCAACTGTTCAAATGTTGGTAATGTTATTTTGAAGTGGAAACGTCTAGGAGCAACAACGGCTCAGCCATGAAGTGGTAGGCCACACAAGCTCACAGAACGGGACCGCTGAGTGCTGAAGCGCGTAGAGCGTAAAAATCGTCTCCTCGGTTGCAACACTCACTACCGCGTTCCAAACTGCCTCTGGAAGCAACGTCCAGCACAATAACTGTTCTTCGGGAGCTTCATGAAATGGGTTTCCATGGCCGAGCTCCACACACAAGCCTAAGATCACCATGCGCAATGCCAAGCGTCGGCTGGAGTGGTGTAAAGCTCGCCTCCATTGGACTCTGGAGCAGGGGAAACGCGTTCTCTGGAGTGATGAATCACGCTTCACCATCTGGCAGTCCGACGGACTAATCTGGGTTTGGCGGATGCCAGGAGAACGCTACCTGCCCCAATGCATAGTGCCAACTGTAAAGTTTGGTGGAGGAGGAATAATGGTCTGGGGCTGTTTTTCATGGTTCTTGCTAGGCCCCTTGGGGAACTCTTAACGCTACAGCATACAATGACATTGTAGACGATTCTGTGCCTCCATCTTTGTGGTAACAGTTTGGGATGGCCCTTTTCCTGTTTCAGCATGACAGTGCCCCCGTGCAGAAAGCGAGGTCCATACAGAAATGGTTTGTCGAGATCGGTGTGGAAGAACTTGACTGGCCTGCACAGAGCCCTGACCTCAACCCCATCACACATCCTTTGGATTGATTAGAACGCCGACTGCGAGGCAGGCCTAATTGCCTAACATCAGTGCCGACCTCACTAATGCTCTTGTGGCTGAAAGGAAGCAAGTCCCTGCAGCAATGTTCCAACATCTAGTGGAAAGCCTTCCCAGAAGAGTGGAGGCTGTTATAGCAGCAAAGGTGGGACCAACTCCATATTAATGGCCATGATTTTGGAATGAGATGTTCGACGAGCAGGTGTCCACATACTTTTGGTCATGTAGTGTATGAAAATATACGGTATGTAACAAGGCATCAAGGATAACTGCCAGCATTTTAAATGATCGTAATCTTACCTTCTGGTAACTTTACACAGTGGGTACCGAAGGCTGAAGGACGATGCATTGCCCACAGTCTTCGAAATGGTCACGCAGCCAGGAGGAAGAGGAGGGGGTGAAACTCCTAGAGGAAAGGGCAAACAGACTGTCATAAGCCTACAGACTAGGTAATATAAAATAAAAACATGTATTTGTTATATTTTGTATCATATGTATGGATATGGAAGTACATGTAGCACAGTGTGCGATTTGATTGTAGTCGTACACTTTATGATTAGAAATGATGAGTCGCTATTGTAGGCCTACATGTAGATAAGAGCTGTGATGCGTGTTAAATGTCATCTTTCCTTTTTTAGGAGGTCCCGCTCTCTGAAAGTGGAACAAGACAACCAGAATGGCGCACAACAAGAAACTGAAGCAAAAAACATAGTTAGTGGAGAACAAGTTCAGAGCTCTGAGACACCCAATGGGGAACCTAATATCTGGATGGAGCAGGGCAAAGCACAGTCCCTCCCTCCCACCCATGGAATATCTGCACCGACTGTCGAAACACCACAGAGTCCCCCTCAACACCCATCAGGCGCTTCACCCGGAGACCCTCCTGGCTCTTCATCCTCTCCCCGTCCTCATTCCCCATCGCGATACATGCTGCGCCTACCCCCACCTCCCGGCTTCTACCTGCCGAAGGAACACAACTATGCTCAGCACTGCCCCCTGGTGTGGCGGAAGCGTTACGACAGGGCCATCGACAGCCTGGAGAAGTCCCTGCGTCTGCTCAGTGCGGCCAGGCGGCGGGAGAACCGGCTGCGGCATGCGCTCCTGCGCCTCAGAGAGAATCGTCTGAAACACACCCTGCTTCGCTCCCGGGACGGAGCTAAGGGCAGGGGAGGTCGAATTCAGGGGTTGGAGAGGAGAGTACATGGAGATAAGGCAGGAGGAGGTGCCAGCCTGGCCGAGCCAGAGGAGACTGAGATGGATGGAGTGCCAGAGGACTTGGGGCTATTTGAAGACGGACCTGGGGAACCGATTGACTGGGGAGGGCGGGTCCGGACTACAGAGACTAAAACTGGGTTGGAAGAGGAGGGGGGTTACTGCTTCTACTGTGGAAAAGGGCGAGAAGACGATGGGGTTAAAGTGTCCAGGGGAAGCTCTCAGATAAGGAAAGGTGGACAGGGAACTGTGGATGATGGCTCTTGGAGTTCTCAGGTTGGTGAGGGGGACAGAGATGGTCGAAGAGGAAGACAAATTCCAAAGAAGGCTCGAGGTCAAAAGGTTGGAGAGGCCACAACATATGCAGGAGCGCCACAGGAAAGCTATGAAAGCTACTACTATCACTGTGGCGCGTCTGAGAGCGGTGAAGATGTGCAGGTAGTCATGGTGGAGCTGCCACCTGAGAAAGGGGTGAAAGCTGGCGTGGAACTTCACTGCAACCCTCAGCTGTCCATCCCCCTGTTGCAAACACAATCACAGGTGGACCTCCAGCAGATGCAGGCGCAGCCCTTGGGCAGAGCAGCACTGCAGGATACCCACAGCCGGGTTCAGTTCCTGCAGCCTGGCCCAGCCTCCCAGCAAGGGCTACTCCTCACAGACCTGAACTCAATAGAAGCAGAGCCAGCGGACAGCCAGCAGCAGCAGGAGGAGCAGGTGTTCTGGATGCAGGAGGGCCAACTGCTCTTAGTGCCTGTACCCTCCGAAGACTGGCTGAAGAGCACAGTTGGGATGGAGGGAGTGGCAGAAGAGGTGGGAGCACAAAGCATATTGGTGTCAGAGGTGGGATTTCCCAGAGACTTGGTGGAGGAGAAAAATAGGGTGTGCTTAGAGGGTGAGGGTAGAGGGCTGAGGGTTATATTGCCCACTGATGGACAGGGAGGCCACCACTCAGACATCAGGACTACTGTGGTGAGCGGTGATGTGAGGGAGCGGTTGAAAGAACACTTGGAGGGGTTTCAGCTCCAGCTTAGCAGTGAGTTTATTGACTGAAGGCTGTATCACATTAAAGGGCCAAAGGGTGGAAGCCTTCATAGAGTGCAAAGGTGACAGCATACTGTTGTGTTTTATGTACATCATCTAAGATGGTGGAATGTTAACTTATAACTTAATCAGATGGAAAAGTCAAGAGGAACCATTTAGCAGGACAAATAAGTCAGTCATATTCTTACCAGCTTGTTAGCCAAAAATGCAACCCAAAATGCTTCATAAAAAAAAATTACATTCCATTTACTCACTTCACTTAGGCTTGTGTAGTAGAGCAGTGGTTCCCAAACTGTGTGGTGCGCCGAGGGGTCGGCAAGGTGCAATTTGGAAATTGGGTAGTGCATCATCAGTTTTCCTCTTGTCATGTCAGTCATTGCATACCTTAGAGAGCTATTTATAACTTGTCCGAAATGTCCAGATCAACTCAACTCGCCCATGTCAGCTAACTTTTTTTTAGCTAGATTTTGTTGTAATGTTTGAGTCACTCAATAAACATTAGACATGGCCAAATGTATAGAATAGCAAGAAAATTAGCTTTAAACCTGCAAAATGTTCTCTGCGCCAACAAGAGGGGTGTGAACAGTTTGTGTCATGAACAGCGCTTGTGCCCATAGAAATAGACGTGGCGCACGCATGTGCAAGGGGGGTGCGCGATGTTCCCCAATGCTGGAAGGGGGCCTGAGTGAAAAGGTTTGGGAACCCTTGTAGTAGAGCATACAACGTGTAATTGAAAACATTTCAAAGCATACATCACAGAATTAATGAAATACATTGTAAATCATGCTCAGTTACACTTTTCATTGCCTGTACTTACAATTATTACAGTATTAATAAAATAACGTATAATAATTTCACCATCTGTAAGCCAAAGACTTGTTCATGCCTACACATTCCATGTACAGTGGGGGGAAAAAAGTATTTAGTCAGCCACCAATTGTGCAAGTTCTCCCACTTAAAAAGATGAGAGAGGCCTGTAATTTTCATCATAGGTAGACGTCAACTATGACAGACAAAATGAGATTTTTTTTCCCAGAAAATCACATTGTAGGATTTTTAATGAATTTATTTGGAAATTATGGTGGAAAATAAGTATTTTTTGTGTTGGCAATGACACAGGTCAAACGTTTTCTGTAAGTCTTCACAAGGTTTTCACACACTGTTGCTGGTATTTTGGCCCATTCCTCCATGCAGATCTCCTCTAGAGCAGTGATGTTTTGGGGCTGTCGCTGGGCAACACAGACTTTCAACTCCCTCCAAAGATTTTCTATGGGGTTGAGATCTGGAGACTGGCTAGGCCACTCCAGGACCTTGAAATGCTTCTTACGAAGCCACTCCTTCGTTGCCCGGGCAGTGTGTTTGGGATCATTGTCATGCTGAAAGACCCAGCCACGTTTCATCTTCAATGCCCTTGCTGATGGAAGGAGGTTTTCACTCAAAATCTCATGATACATGGCCCCATTCATTCTTTCCTTTACACGGATCAGTCGTCCTGGTCCCTTTGCAGAAAAACAGCCCCAAAGCATGATGTTTCCACCCCCATGCTTTACAGTAGGTATGGTGTTCTTTGGATGCAACTCGGCATTCTTTGTCCTCCAAACACGATGAGTTGAGTTTTTACCAAAAAGTTATATTTTGGTTTCATCTGACCATATGACATTCTCCCAATCCTCTTCTGGATCATCCAAATACACTCTAGCAAACTTCAGACGGGCCTGGACATGTACTGCCTTAAGCAGGGGGACACGTCTGGCACTGCAGGATTTGAGTCCCTGGCGGCGTAGTGTGTTACTGATGGTAGGCTTTGCTACATTGGTCCCAGCTCTCTGCAGGTCATTCACTAGGTCCCCCCGTGTGGTTCTGGGATTTTTGCTCACCGTTCTTGTGATCATTTTGACCCCACGGGGTGAGATCTTGCGTGGAGCCCCAGATCGAGGGAGATTATCAGTGGTCTTGTATGTCTTCCATTTCCTAATAATTGCTCCCACAGTTGATTTCTTCAAACCAAGCTGCTTACCTATTGCACATTCAGTCTTCCCAGCCTGGTGCAGGTCTACAATTTTGTTTCTGGTGTCCTTTGACAGCTCTTTGGTCTTGGCCATAGTGGAGTTTGGAGTGTGACTGTTTGAGGTTGTGGACAGGTGTCTTTTATACTGATAACAAGTTCAAACAGGTGCCATTAATACAGGTAACGAGTGGAGGACAGAGGAGCCTCTAAAAGAAGAAGTTACAGGTCTGTGAGAGCCAGAAATCTTGCTTGTTTGTAGGTGACCAAATACTTATTTTCCACCATAATTTGCAAATAAATTCATTAAAAATCCTACAATGTGATTTTCTGGATTTTCTTTTCTCATTTTGTCTGTCATAGTTGACGTGTACCTATGATGAAAATTACAGGCCTCTCATCTTTTTAAGTGGGAGAACATGCACAATTGGTGGCTGACTAAATACTTTTTTCCCCCACTGTAACTGATTACATTTGGCATGCATGTAATTTATACCGTATTACAAGGGCCGCCAAAAGGTTGCTGGAATTGATATTTTAGTTGTTATTTTAAGACATTTCTATTAGTTTAATCACAAAATAGTACAGAAGTGTGTGGGTCACAGCAATGACCGCAAAATGACTCAAAATATCTAGGGAAGCAAAATCCATCCAAAATATTTTCTTGGCCAATAAGGTACAGCCAAAGTAAGGGAGAAAATCATGTTAGATTGTATTAAGTGGAACATCCCTTTAATTGAGGTGCCCTGTCCTAAACAACATGCAACAATCGGCTCACAATCTGAGGGAAAATTTAAACAATCCAGACTTGGAATGTTGTTTTTCCCCCCCCAACATTTTTCTTTCTACCTTTACCCCTTTTTAAAACTGGTGGTTTGATTATTCTTCACACTCAAGAAACTAGTGGTAACCTGCTATATTTTTTAAATTTTATGTAGCTAAATTCATAAATTGTGGGCAGTTTGTTTGTTTGAACTTTTCTCATTCAGAAAAAGTCAGTTCTCCACCCTCTCTCCTCCATCCTCTCTCTTCTGTGACCCAGAAACCGATAAGTGGTCGAGGAGATGTAAATTTGTTAGAAAGTAAACGGAAGTGTTCCCTCCTCAATAGCCAAATCTCATCGAGAATAGTGTGTATCCTACCCGAGTCCTTCGCGGAAGACTTGAAATATAGGGCCTTTTCTCAATTATTATCTGAATTCCTCCTTTTGAAAAAGGTAATCGTGGAGAGGCGGCGAAGAGAGGGAAAGTCGACGAAAATGTGCTTGTATGAAATGACTCTCCTCCACTCATGCGTTATCAGGCAAATTACGTTTATAGAGGTGGATCTCAAAATATATACGTAAAGTGATACAAACAAATTTTAGTTGTGCAAAACATTTGATAGATAACACGATAAGCAGTGGTGGAAAAGTACCCAATTGTCATACTTGAGTAAAAGTAAAGATACCTTAATAGAAAATGACACCCAGTAAAATACTACTTGAGTAAAAGTCAAAGTATTTTGTTTTAAATATACTTAAGTATCAAAAGTAAATTGAATTGCTAAAATATTCTTAAGTATCAAAAGAAAAAGTATAAATAATTTAAAATTCATTTTTATTAAGCAAACCAGATTGCACCATTTTCTTGTTTTTAGTTTAATTTATGGATAGCCAGGTGCACACACCAATACTCAGACATAATTTACAAATTAAGAATTAGTGTTTAGTGAGTCCGCCTGATCAGAGGCTGTAGGGATGACCAGGGATGTTCTCTTGATAAGTGTGTGAATTGGACCCTTTTCCTGTCCTGCTAAGCATTCAAAATGTAACGAGTACTTTTGGGGGTCAGAGAAAATGTATTAAGTAAAAGTTGTCAAAAATATAAATAGTAAAGTACACATACCCCCCCCAAAAAATTGTTTTTATATTATTGTTAAAAAATATATATATATATATATTTTTTTTACCCCTTTTTCTGCCCAATTTCGTGATATCCAATTGATAGTTACAGTCTTGTCCCATCGCTGCAACTCCCCTACAGACTTGGGAGAGGCAAAGGTCGAGAGCCATGCATCCTCCGAAACACGACCCTGCCAAGCCGCACTGCTTCTTGACACACTGCTTGCTTAACCTGGAAGTCAGCCTCACCAATGTGTCGGAGGAAACACCGTCCAGCTGGTGACCGAAGTCAGCTTGCAGTCGCCCGGCCCGCCACAAGGAGTCGCTAGAGTGCGACGGGACAAGGAAATCCAGGCCGGCCAAACCCTCCCCTAACCCGGATGACGCTGGGCCAATTATGCGCCGTCTCCCAGGCGCGGCCGGCTGTGACACAGCCTGGGATCAAACCTTGGTCTGTAGTGACGCCTCAAGCACTGCGATGCAGTGCCTTAGATCGCTGCACCACTCGGGAGTACTTAAGTAGTACTTTAATGTACACCACACGATAAGTAGCATATTGTTTTTAAACGTGTGCATGCTTTTCTCCAATGGACCCAAAAAAATGCAGATTCAAATGGGGTTTGGCAGATTTAAAAACTCTTCCATGAATGACTCCGGTAGGATCATAGAGCTAGATGGAGGACTCATCTTTAAAGCTGTGCCATTATAGCGTCTGTGACAGCATGGGCGGCGCCATTGAGGTTATCTCCATTTAAGGAGTCAATTTTCTTATTCACGATTAACTGATCCCTCCCGATGACCCGGTTGGACATGACTCCAACAGGGTCACCAGGAGGGATCCGCCAATAAAGTTGGAAGTCCCACCCAGTTGACTACATTAAAATGGTGGAAGTTCTCAATGGTGCTACCCATCCTGATACAGCCTTTTGGCCACTAGAGGCCCCTATCATATTATCTATGGGTAGGATACACATGACTAGCCTCAAGGTGGCTATCAAGGAAAAGGCCCTAGAGGTAGCCTACCTGATGGCTTTCCACACAACCCCCTCACGTTGTTCCTCTGTCTTTAAAGGGGTAATTTGATTGCTGCATAAATGTTTTGACTTTTAATTTCATGATATATAGCCATTGATTCTTAAAGAATATAACTTACAAATGCATCATGATCTCAGTTCAACTGTCCAACCACATCAAAACCCAAAGTATATGCTTGTTTTACTCCTTTGTGTGTAAACAATGTGTAATTGTAAACAAACACTGTATAGCCTCAAAACATGGTTACATTTAAAAAATATATATCATGGATGGTCAGTCCTTGCATACATAGCTCTTTCTATGAATTTGAAAGTGGTTACATTTGTCTATCCCCATTACTCAGCTGTTTACCGAAACAGTGGCGGGGTACCTGCTTTGTTATTGTTTGAACTTCAGATTGCCCCTTCAATTGAGAATCGGTAATTGACAGTCGTGAGAACACCACAGACAAGACACAACTTTTTTGTTCTACTCTCGTGGAGTCTGAGGTAAGGTTGCCAATTTTAACAATTGCTTTAATATAGGTTAAATGTGAATGGCTAGATGTTAAGTGGCTCTGTCATTAGCTAGCTAACGGTCACTTGGAAATTAATTTGAGGGCCTTGCGACTAGCCAGTCTCACATACCAACGGTAGTAAGACATGGCCACAAACCATTTAGCTAGCAAACATTCGATATGCTAAAATAAAACGTAACTGCCAGTGTGACCCCAGGTTAATGCTTTGTGTCATTGTACGCATTTTACTCTTAATAACAGACATACTTTTCTTCTCACCTTTTTGTTTCATGGTGGTTAACACCAGACGGGCTGCAGCGTTCTGGATGAGTTGTAGGGGTTTAATGGCACAGGCAGGGAGCCCAGCCAACAGCGAGTTGCAGTAATCCAGACGGGAGATGACAAGTGCCTGGATTAGGACTTGTGCCGCTTCCTGTGTAAGGTAGGGTCGTACTCTGCGAATGTTGTAGAGCATGAACCTACATGATCGGTTCACCGCTTTGATGTTAGCGGAGAACGACAGGGTGTTGTCCAGGGTCACGCCAAGGTTCTTTGCACTCTGGGAGGAGGACACAATGGAGTTGTCAACCGTGATGGCGAGATCATGGAGCGGGCAGTCCTTCCCCGGGAGGAAGAGCAGCTCCGTCTTGCCGAGGTTCAGCTTGAGGTGGTGAGCCGTCATCCACACTGATATGTCTGCCAGACATGCAGAGATGCGATTCGCCACCTGGTTATCAGAAGGGGGAAAGGAGAAAATTCATTGTGTGTCGTCTGCGTAGGATTGATAGGAGAGACCATGTGAGGATATGACAGAGCCAAGTGACTTGGTGTATAGAGAGAATAGGAGAGGGCCTAGAACTGAGCCCTGGGGGACACCAGTGGTGAGAGCACGTGGTGCGGAGACAGATTCTCGCCACGCCACCTGGTAGGAGCGACCTAATCCAAGAGTGAGCCGCGCCGGAGATGCCCAACTCGGAGAGGGTGGAGAGGAGGATCTGATGGTTCACAGTATCAAAGGCAGCAGATAGGTCTAGAAGGATGAGAGCAGAGGAGAGAGAGTTAGCTTTAGCAGTGCGGAGAGCCTCCATGACACAGAGAAGAGCAGTCTCAGTACGGGAGGACAGTCAAAGCTATTTTCTGTCCACGTACCCCAATGATGGAACCAGCTTGCCCCTGAAGCTAGGACAGCAGAGTTCCTCTCCATCTTCTGAAAACATCAACAATATACCTATTCAAAGAGTAATCCCACTGTACCCCCCAGCATGACTAAAATGTAAATGTAATGTAAATCACAATGTCAATAATGCAATGTGATGGCCCCATTTGCTTTGCTAATTGCTCTTGGGGGGCCTCACCCTGTTAGGCTATGCATTGGACATCTATTCCTTGTCAGTAGGCAGGTTTCCATTGACCCAGTTTTATTCGACAAAAACCATTGCAACATGTGTAATGGAAACGGCAGCTATATGAGAAATGTTCTAAACATTTTCATCTGTCGACAATTCAAAAGAAGGTGATAATTATACACTTCAGAGCCAATGAGCTTAAGTTTGTAGATAACAACCCGCCTACATCCTCTATCAGTAAAGGAATTTTGTACCAATTTGTGTATTGTTCTCACTTTCTCACTGCTGAACCAATCAAGTATGGTACAGTTTAGATAATGTTTAGCCTGCTGAGCTAAAGCCTAGGTATCTTCACGTCTCAGATGAGGTTACTCCTCATGCAACTTACAAGTCAACTTAATTCCCAGTCAACCCAGTCCTGCCAATGAAAAATTGCTGTTTTATCCACAGTATCCAGCCAGCTGTTAACATACCTCTATCACTGCATTTGAATGATTGGTCATCGACTCATTGTTTGCCTAGGATCACTGTTTGAAGGAGAGTGAGTGTGTCACAGAGAGACGGGCCCATTTTAGGAAGCTGGGAGAGCAGCAGGAGTATGTGCTGGCTTTCACAGAGAAAGCCCTGAAGAGTGAAGACCACAGCTCCCTGCTCTCCTGCAAAAGACAGGTACAGTTGAAGTCGGAAGTTTACATACACCTTAGCCAAATACATTTAAACTCAGTTTTTCACAATTCCTGACATTTAATCCTAGTACAAATTCCCTGTCTTAGGTCAGTTAGGATCACCACTTTATTTTAAGAATGTGAAATGTCAGAATAATAGTAGAGAGAATTTTTTATTTCAGCTTTTAATTCTTTCATCATATTCCCAGTGGGTCAGAAGTTTACATACACTCAATTAGTATTTGGTAACATTGCCTTTAAATTGTTTAACTTGGGTCAAAAGTTTCGGGTAGCCTTCCACAAGCTACCCACAATAAGTTGGGTGAATTTTGGTCCATTCCTCCTGACAGAGCTGGTGTAACTGAGTCAGGTTTGTAGGCCTCCTTGCTCGCACACGCTTTTTCAGTTCTGCCCACAGATTTTCTATAGAATTGAGGTCAGGGCTTTGTGATGGCCACTCCAATACCTTGACTTAGTTGTCCTCAAGCCATTTTGCCACAACTTTGGAAGTATGCTTGGGGTCATTGTCCATTTGGAAGACCCATTTGCGACCAAGCTTTAACTTCCTGACTGATGTCTTGAGATGTTGCTTCAATATATCCACATAATTTTCCTTCCTCATGATGCCATCTATTTTGTGAAGTGCACCAGTCCCTCCTGCAGCAAAGCACCCTCACAACATGATGCTGCCACCCCCGTGCTTCACGGTTGGGATGGTGTTCTTCGGCTTGCAAGCCCCCCTTTTTCCTCCAAACATAACAATGGTCATTATGGCCAAACAGTTCTATTTTTGTTTCATCAGACCAGAGGACATTTCTCCAAAAAGTACGATCTTTGTCCCCATGTGCAGTTGCAAACCGTAGTCTGGCTTTTTCTATGGCAGTTTTGGAGCAGTGGCTTCTTCCTTGCTGAGCGGCCTTTCAGGTTATGCCGATATAGGACTCGTTTTACTGTGGATATAGATACTTTTGTACCTGTTTCCTCCAGCATCTTCACAAGGTCCTTTACTGTTGTTCTGGGATTTATTTGCACTTTTCGCACCAAAGTACGTTCATCTCTAGGAGACAGAACGTGTCTCCTTCCTGAGCGGTATGACGGCTGCGTGGTGCCATGGTGTTTATACTTGCGTGCTATTGTTTGTACAGATGAACGTGGTACCTTCAGGCGTTTGGAAATTGCTCCCTAAAGAAACACTCAGGTAACATTAGAGATAATGCATGCTACTGCCCTGATCTATTACCATAAAACTTAAATTAATAGCCCAGCGTTTATTTGCTTCAATCACTGAACACAACCAGTGCTTATTAGAGACAGGCTTCTTGTTGAGCCAGGCGTCTCTTTCCTTAATGCACACAGCTTTTGCTCAAATAAAATGTTGAAAAGACTACCACACTGTTTATTGTGACCAGTATGACCAGTATAAACATTATAATAACAAATCCGTTGCAGATCAGACTTGCAAAGACTTGGTTGCCTATCGTATACCGCTTCTTGGCGCCATGGCTAGCAGCGTTGACAAATAATATTACTATGGGAATATCAGCGCTGTGTCCATTGTAACCTCGTAAACAATTCATTTAGACACAGCGTTTATTTGAAACAGGCGATTATTTGTTGAAATGTGTGCCGATGCCCGGCTATTAAAGGGATACTTCAGAATTTTGGCAATTAGACTTCTAGTCATTGTGCTAATGCTAGTTAGCATTGGCTTGCGAAACTACACTGAACAAAAATATAAACGCAACATGTAAGGAGTTGGTCCTATGTTTCATGAGCTGAAATAAAAGATCCCAGAAATGTTCCATGCGCACAAAAAGCTTATTTCTCTCAAATGTTATGCACACATTTTATTACATCCCTGTTAGTGAGCATTTATTATTTGCCAAAATAATCCATCCAGCTGACAGGTGTGGCATATCAAGAAGCTGATTAAAACAGCATGATCATTACACAGGTGCACCTTGTGCTGGGGACAATAAAAGGCCGCTCTAAAATGTGCAGTTTTGTCACACAACACAATGCCACAGATGTCTCAAGTTGAGAGAGCGTGCAATTGGCATGCAGACTGCAGGAATGTCCAGCAGAGCTGTTGCCAGAGAATGTAATGTTAATTTCTCTACCATAAGCCGCCTCCAACGTAATTTGAGAATTTGGCAGTACGTCCAACCGACCTCAACTGCAGTTCATGTGTATGGCGTCGTGTGGGCGAGCGATTTTCTCATGTCAACGTTGTGAACAGAGTGCCCCGTGGTGGCGGTGGGGTTATGATATGGGCAGGCATAAGCTACGGACAATGAACACAATTGCATTTTATCACAATTTGAATGCACAGAGATACCGTGACAAGATCCTGAGGCCCATTGTCGTGCCATTCATCCGCCGCCATCACCTCATGTTTCAGCATGATAATGCACGGCCCCATGTTGGAAGGATCTGTACACAATTCCTGGAAGCTGAAAATGTCCCAGTTCTTCCATGGCCTGCATACTCACCAGACATGTCACCCATTGAGCATGTTTAGGATGCTCTGGATCGACATGTACGACAGCGTGCTCCATTTCCGGCCAATATCCAGCAACTTCGCACAGCCATTGAAGAGAAGTGGGACAAGATTCTACAGGCCTCAATCAACAGCCTGATCAACTCTATGCGAAGGAGATGTCGTGCTGCATGAGGCAAATGGTGGTCACACCAGATACTGACTGGTTTTCTGATCCACGCCCCTACCTTTTTTTAAAGGTACCTGTGACCAACAGATGTACAGTGGGGAAAAAAAAGTATTTAGTCAGCCACCAATTGTGCAAGTTCTCCCACTTAAAAAGATGAGAGAGGCCTGTAATTTTCATCATAGGTACACGTCAACTATGACAGACAAAATGAGAAAATAAAATCCAGAAAATCACATTGTAGGATTTTTTTATGAATTTATTTGCAAATTATGGTGGAAAATAAGTATTTGGTCACCTACAAACAAGCAAGATTTCTGGCTCTCACAGACCTGTAACATCTTCTTTAAGAGGCTCCTCTGTCCTCCACTCGTTACCTGTATTAATGGCACCTGTTTGAACTTGTTATCAGTATAAAAGACACCTGTCCACAACCTCAAACAGTCACACTCCAAACTCCACTATGGCCAAGACCAAAGAGCTGTCAAAGGACACCAGAAACAAAATTGTAGACCTGCACCAGGCTGAGAAGACTGAATGTGCAATAGGTAAGCAGCTTGGTTTGAAGAAATCAACTGTGGGAGCAATTATTAGGAAATGGAAGACATACAAGACCACTGATAATCTCCCTCGATCTGGGGCTCCACGCAAGATCTCACCCCGTGGGGTCAAAATGATCACAAGAACGGTGAGCAAAAATCCCAGAACCACACAGGGGGACCTAGTGAATGACCTTCAGAGAGCTGGGACCAAAGTAACAAAGCCTACCATCAGTAACACACTACGCCGCCAGGGACTCAAATCCTGCAGTGCCAGACGTGTCCCCCTGCTTAAGCCAGTACATGTCCAGGCCCGTCTGAAGTTTGCTAGAGTGCATTTGGATGATCCAGAAGAGGATTGGGAGAATGTCATATGGTCAGATGAAACCAAAATAGAACTTTTTGGTAAAAACTAAACTCGTCGTGTTTGGAGGACAAAGAATGCTGAGTTGCATCCAAAGAACACCATACCTACTGTGAAGCATGGGGGTGGAAACATCATGCTTTGGGGCTGTTTTTCTGCAAAGGGACCAGGACGACTGATCCGTGTAAAGGAAAGAATGAATGGGGCCATGTATCGTGAGATTTTGAGTGAAAACCTCCTTCCATCAGCAAGGGCATTGAAGATTAATTGTGGCTGGGTCTTTCAGCATGACAATGATCCCAAACACACCGCCCGGGCAACGAAGGAGTGGCTTCGTAAGAAGCATTTCAAGGTCCTGGAGTGGCCTAGCCAGTCTCCAGATCTCAACCCCATAGAAAATCTTTGGAGGGAGTTGAAAGTCTGTGTTGCCCAGCGACAGCCACAAAACATCACTGCTCTAGAGGAGATCTGCATGGAGGAATGGGCCAAAATACCAGCAACAGTGTGTGAAACCTTGTGAAGACTTACAGAAAACGTTTGACCTGTGTCCTTGCCAACAAAGGGTATATAACAAAGTATTGAGAAACTTTTGTTATTGACCAAATACTTATTTTCCACCATAATTTGTAAATAAATTCATTAAAAATCCTACAATGTGATTTTCTGGATTTCTTTTTCTCATTTTGTCTGTCATAGTTGACGTGTACCTATGATGAAAATTACAGGCCTCTCTCATCTTTTTAAGTGGGAGAACTTGCACAATTGGTGGCTGACTAAATACTTTTTTTCCCCACTGTATATCTGTATTCCCAGTCATGTGAAATTCATAGATTAGAGCCTAATTTGTTTATTTCAATTGACTGATTTTCTTATATGAACTGTAACTCAGTAAAATCTTGGAAATTGTTGCATGTTGTGTTTTATATTTTTGTTCAGTATACCTCTTAACTTAATTCATACTGGACACAAATACATAAAAATGGTATCCACAAGTTCTGGGGAGGTAGATCAAGGGCCTCATTGCCAAAATCCAGAGGTATCCCTTTAAAAGGGACAGGCGGCTATTTGAGACTCTGCGTTTAATTGAAGTTTTACGGTACATAAATGTATCTTCCTTCCTTGACCCACCAGTGCTCAAGTTGTCTCACCATCTTGTCTCCTTCCATCCTCTTCTTTCCCCTTTTAGATCCATTATATATCCCAAAACCCCAGCAAAGTCTCTTATCATGAAGGAGCTGAAGCTCCATTGTGGCCAGGACATCCACCAAACCCTTGGGTGTTTTGGTACTTATCAAAGCAATGTGATTTTGAACACTTTCAATTATCATATTTATAAACTTGCAGTGATACGTTTAGATTTGTCGGACTGATGAATAATGACATCTCTATGAAGTGATGGTGCTTTTTTGTGGGCTTGATGCTGCCAGAAAATTGTTTTAATGTTATAGATCAGAGAAAAATGGTTGAAGATGGTGGTAGTTGTACTCTTAATTAATGTGTCATTCTGTTTGCGTTCAGGGGAAATTGTGTCTAAGGAGGTCCCATTTGCTCAGCTAAACCTGAGAAAAACTTGAGTTAGTCCCAATTCAAATCAATCTTCCCAAATTTTCTCTGGAACAGCAGAGAAACAGCACAGCATCCTCACCATTGTCACCCTCATCCCAGGAAACCTCCAGTACATCAAAGGGAAATGCTCCCTTCTCCCAATGTCAACCAACACTAATGCACTCGCTTTCCCTTCCCCTATCCCCATGAACCAGAGAAACTGTCATTTTACCACTTTTCCCCTGACCCTCGCAGACTCTTTACAGGCACTATCCTCTTCCTGCTCTCACAGCCCTCTGTCCTTGTCCTCTACGTCTGCTGTGAATGCAACAGGTCCCCAGCAATTTTATCAAAGTGCTGTAAACACGGGAAACAATGACTGCTCGTCATTATTGGGGGTTGCCCAGGACACCCCTGTCCCGTATCAGGGTGGCTCCTCAGTCTGACCTGATGGTGGAACTTGTTTCCCCGCCCTTTCATGTCAAAAGGAAAGCAGGGGATGAAAATGTGGGTCCTCTAATTAAACTAAGTCGTTTGCAGCCCTTGAAGGTACCAGCGGACTCCCCCCTGTGAGAGGGTTCCCCCTGTAGGTGCCGAAAAGCAGGCTGTGGACGTGGCTGCTACAGTTGTCATGGAAAGAAGCTACGCCCACAATCATGGATCAGAATGCAACGGCTCCAATGGACAGACAAAAAGCTACTAAGGCTTCAGGCAGCCATCAATCAAATCAGGTTGTTGGCAGGAGTGCCAAGATGGCCAATTGGGTGGTTTTAGCTCCCTTCACACTCCCTGTTACGGGGGAACTCCATCACTTGGGGCATGTCACCAGCTAATGGCACTCTTTTTCCTGGCACCGTGAACACTCCCCCCAGCTTTGGATGTGTAAGGGCTGTCCCCCCATACTTAGTTTTGTCCAACAGCGCTCCAGTTTCTGGTTCCACTGGCACTGTGGGCAGGCTTGACAATGGAAGCCTGGTCTTCATCCATAATGACATGCCCTTTTTCAACATCAAGTGCTAGCTGGTTCTGTCTCAGGAGGACCCTGCCCACCAGGTCTGCCAGACCTCACCTCTCCAAAGAGCCCAATGGTTAGTTGTGAAAAAAGGTCTTTACTCTTTATTTCCCTCTTATCTATAGTTTATCCTAGTAGTTCCTATCCCATAGTAATTCATCTGTGTCCTCCTCCTTTGCCTCCCATCTCTTTTCTTCCTCTCAAATCCATATTCTGTCTGTTGGTATCCCAAATCTCCTTTTATGCTTTGCCCATTGTCCTATTTTGTTGTATCCTCAGTTAGGTCTTGTGTAGTTGAGCAAATAATGGAAAGTTGAAAATTCTGCTAAATCACAATTTGGGAATCTTCAGAATGACTACTTACTGTAGTGTTGCATCATCTGAAGTATAAAAATTGTAGATCAACTGTGAATAATGAATCATCATATATCTGCATTTTGAAATGTAATTGGAAACTTTTTGAAGGCGTTTATAAATTGTTAAGTAAGAACACGCCTTTGATACAGTCTTACATTCGCATTAATAAGGTACTATCACACCCTCTCAACAGGAAGCTCCTCAGTCCACTGGTCCAATCAAAATCAGAATTATTAGACAGGTAAAGAAGACTATTTAAACGGTTCAGGACACCAAGCAGCCCACCCAGGATGGCACTGCTCAGTCAGGCTTGTTCAGAAAGGATGAAGCCGCCTCCACTCTCCTCATACAAACTGCTACTGTCCAGGCAGACTCTGTACAAATGGAAATTGCCCAGACAGACGTTGTCCAGGCCGACCCTAGTCTGACAGTCTTTGCTGTTGAAGAAACCACGGAGACAGACATTGTCCAGAATACAACTGCCCAGCCAGACTTTGTCCCGAATGAGACCAACCAGGCCGAACTTGTCCAGACTAAAACAGCCCAAATGGAAATTGTTCCTGCTCAAGTAATAGGAATCTAGGAGGAACAAACGTTACGGCCAGTTACATGCCCAATGGAGTCTGTGAGGGCAGACATGCTTGACCCTGCCCAAACTGTTCCTGTCCAGATGAACCTTGTGCAAACTAACACTGTCCAAAGCGACATTGTGCAGACTGAAACTGACCAGACTGACCTTGTCCACACAGAAATGGTTCGTGCAACTGAAACTGTGCAGAGGGATTTTGTCCAGACTGAAACTGTGCAGACCGACTTTGTTCAGACTGATAACCAGACTGAAACCGTGCAGACTGAGACACTGCTGAGACTGATTTTGTGCAAACTGAAACAGTGCAGACGGACTCTACCTTCATTGAAACTGTGAAGAACGAAATTGTCCAGTTGAACTTTAACCAGACTGAAACCGTTCAGACAGACCCTGTCCTGACTGAAACAGTTTATACAGTCCAGACAGACACTGCACAGATGGAACCAGTCCACAGTGAAACTGTCCTTACCGACATTATGCAGACTGTGACTGTGCAGAGGGACCCAGCCCCAACTGACTTCACAGAGATTATTCAGACCGACATGTCAACCACCAATGAAACCGATGTGGTACCCACCAATGACACTGTCAATGTGGTCAGTGTAGGGCTGTTGCGGTGACCGTATTACTGCCACACCGCCGGTCACGAGTCATGAAGGCAGTCAAATTCTACATCACCGTTTTGTCATGGTAATTAGGCTTCTTCAAGCTCTGATGCTGCTGCTGGTCATTTAATAGCCTACCAAACATGCTAACTGCCTGGTACTCAGCACTCTATTGTCCCTCTAATCACTCTGACATCAATGCAAATGTCGAAAATCTAATCAAACACTTAATTAGAGCCCATGAGCTCATGTTGTGCAACATTTCTATAGGCTATGCAATTGTGCGAGAAAACAGAGTGATGGCCTCTACTAAAAAGAGGAGGATCCCATCAGCTTTCTATAGGCTAGGCCTACTTTATTTATTTCTCAACTTTCCTAATATTAAGCACATTGTTTATCTTTACAACAGGAGTATAGCCTACCTGGCTGGCATGAAAATCAACCACGGAAAGCGTCCTCCATTCGCTATTTAAATGCATAGATGACATGTATTTTTCCCCCACTGCCCCTGTTTCGAGACAGGTGCATGATAATGGTCCATTCTAAATCAAAACAAATTTCACACATATTATTTAGTATATGTAAAGAAGATTAAATCAAGAATTGTCTGATTGGTGACAATATTAGCCGATCACTTGTGAATAATATATGATCACTTTAGAGCCTAACTGGCATACATAAGCAGCGCATGAGTTTCAAGTTTGGGGAAGATAATCTTCACCATAAAAATGCACCTTTGTAATAATATAAGCATTACATGCATAATCGCATTTGAAGTCACTTTTGAAAATTGTGTTTTCCTGCTAATGGAACATTCACGCTTATAGCCTACTGCCATGTGCGCATTGCTGCGCTTATAATGTGAAGAAATAGCCTAAAAGTATATCAACATTTTAAGCTAAATGTAACATCAGTGCATGGCTCTCTGTAGATTTCCGCAGGTGTCTTTGCTTCGGATGCCCATCCCTTGTCGGTGCTCCGCCATCCCGCTTCCTCCCAGGGGTCAAAGGGCAGGAAACTGTCATTCAGGTGATCCAGACGGACGTGCCGGTAAGGCCAACTGTTTGGTTTCACCGACTGCATATGTTATTGGTTTGAATATGTTAATGTCACATTTTCTTGCTCACACTGGTTTATACATCCTCCAGCAGCCAGAGTCTCCTTGCTCCTCCATGTTGAGCCCAGACAGTCTGAGGCGCACCCCATCCCCCCAGCTACGCCCTCTCCTGGCCAGGAGGAAACACTGCACAGCATGTAGGACGTGAGGGAAGCTCACCCTGTGTCGCGTGTGGACGGGGCTTCCACAGGGAGTGTGTGTCACATTCCACCCATCTGTGCCTTATCCGAGTGAGCTTGTTTTAATTAACCAAGTTAATTGCATTCTAATTCTAATCCCCCCCAATGAACTGTTAAGTGTGATTCTCAGCATATTATTTTAACTTATGTATTACTTAAATAATGTATGTCTTATTTCAATCTGTATTGTATATTGACCTCTAAAAATGTGGGCTCCTGTGTGGAAAGATGTTTCACTGTGGGCCCAAATAAAGCATTGAGATTTGTCTCTCTGCATTGGCCTGATGTGTGTGATACTGCTCACCCAGTGAGGGCTGGCAGTGTATGCTGTGGCGGGACCTCTCTGATCTGGCAGAGCTGCAGGACTACAGTGGGACCAACAGGGAACTGTGTATGAGCCCTCCTGACCAAATGGTGAGCCTTTTACTTCACAGAGCATGTCTGGGCATGTCTGCTAGCTTTCACTTGAATATGTGCATCTGGGTACATAAGACTGTGCATGCCCAGTTCTCTGTCTGAGCATGTCTACGCATGTCACATTTAGTACTTATTGACCCTGACTCTATTTTAGTGGAGATGGTCTGCTTTTTTTAAAAAGACACAGGGGTAGAATCAGAATGTAAACCATATATTTCTGATATGACTGGATCTTGATTGGTTATTTTAACCCAAACTCATCGTACCCACCGTTTTTTAGTCTGGCCATTAAATCACCAATCAAGATCCAGTCATATTGCTTCTGTTAGTTTGTCCACTCCAAGGTGTTTGTTTGTCCAGTGTAGTCTACAGCGATGGTTCACACACACACACACACACACACACCCCACTGCAGACCAGTGTTTCCCAACTCCAGTCCTCAAGCACCCCCAACAGCATACATTTTTGTTGTAGCCCCAGACAAAGTCACCTGATTCAACTCATTGAGGGCTTGATGATTAGTTGACAAGTTGAATCAGGTGTGCTTGTCTGGGGCTACAACAAAAATGTATGCTGTTGGGGGTGCTTGAGGACTGGAGTTGGGAAACACTGGTCTGCAGTGGGGTGTGTGTGTGTGTGTGTGTGTGTTTGTGTGTGAACCATCACTTACTCTTTGGGGTAGACCCTACAGAGATGTGAGCAACTACTGCTTGTCCTTTCATGCAAAAGTACAGCATTGTCCTCTACAGACCAGCAAAGGTAATCGACAAATGCAACTTACTGCATTTATGCATACACATCCTTAGCATCCCTCTTTTAGTATTGCCATAGATAGTGTTAGCTATTAGAATGTCACACATAATTACATGATACTTTTAATATTGATATGAATGTAATATTAATAAAAAATATAATGTTGGTGACGGTCCTAACTTTTTTCCTGCAATGTTTATTGCCATGTAGGTTGCAGACAAATGACTAGTCCCTTTAATGAAGTATGACTTTGTTTTTCAATTGTGTGTGTTGGATATACTGTATACAATTACAGTTTGATGTTAGTCAGTTGTCTTGCATTGACTCTAGAGAAATATTGTATTTTGACTCTCTCCCTCTCCTTAGCTCTCTTCCTGGTCTTCTCATCGACATCACCTTGATACGGGGACGGTTGCTGCGGAAACTGCTCCCCCCCCCCCCCCCTTATCGCACCCCATGTCTGGCTTCTCCTCCACACACTGTTGAAGAGCGTGAAGGTGAGGAGACTCACAGTGGATGTGTCCATGACTCAGCACCATGATTTGCCTATAGAGAAATATTACGGCTACAGTTGCATATGTAGGCCTTCATTTCCAAATGAATGGCTGTTTTCTTTAGCGAAATCCCCTAACTCCTACCTTTCCTGTAAATTGTGAAACAATTTGTCAGAGCTTTGGGAGTTGGAAAGCAGTATTCTATTGCTGTCTTTAGTCATCAATATAGTGATATGGATCTCACTTTGTTGTTCTTGTCCTTCATTACCCTTTCCTCTTTTTCCTCAGTATTCCAAGTCCCTGGACCGACTTGAGGCATGTTTCGGGAAGGAGCTGGGCAAAACGTTCGAGGGGATCCTTCACCCTTCGCTGCTCGTCAACCCCCACCAAAGGGAAGCGGAGTGTGGAGTGGAGTGCAGAACAAGAGGGGGACAAGGAGAAAGTGACCATGAGGAGAATCCGAGACTGAGAGGAGGAGCGCGCAGGCAGAGACATTTCACACAGGACTCTATGAAAGATGGAGAATGGCAGCAGAAGCCTGTATTTGTATATTGAATTTGGCCATTGAATTCCTTGGTGAACATATTTGTACATACAGTTGCGGCCAAATATTGGCACCCTTGCACTTTTCTTAAATAATTCCCTATTTCTTCTAAAATAACTTGAAATTGTAAAAAACGTTTGTTCTCCACACCTTACTGTATTTTCAACATTTACAGAACCAATTTTATTTTGGTAAATATACGTTTAAAATGTGTATTTACAAAGTAAAATTGTCATGGACAAAATTATTGGCAACCCGGAGAAAGTACCTGGTTGCACAGCCTTTGGCCAAGATAACTGCAGACAAATGCTTCAATAAGCTGGCTGCACCTTATTACTGGCAATTTTATTCAGTCTTCAGCAGCAAACTGCTCTAATTCTTTAAAGTTTGAGGGGTGCCCTCCACCAACTGCTGTTTTCAGCTCTCGACAATAGGTTATGGATGTGATTCAGATCTGGACTCTATGCTGGCCACTCCAGTACAGGCCAGCGTTTCTTCTTGAATCATTCCAGGGTGCCTTTGATGTTTGTTTGGGGTTGTTGTCCTGCTGAAAGACCCTCAACCTTGCAACAGAAACCCAGTTTTTTTACACTGGATTGAACATTGTACTCCAAAACACATTGATAATCTGCTGTTTTCATGATGTCTTGCACATGTTCAAGGCCCCCAGTACCAGAGGCAGCAAAGCAACCCTATAGCATTATCAAACCTTCCCTATGTTTGATTGTAGTTATTTTCTTTGAAGGCTTAATTTGGTCGTTGGTAAACATGGGTAGCCCCACTGCTGAAGCAGACACAAGAAAGCCTGATTGAACTTCTCAAATGGAATGGTTCAAGAAGAAATGCTGGACTGTTCTGGAGTGGCCAGCCAAGAGTCCAGATCTAAATCACATCCAAAACTTATGGTGAGGACTGAAAACAGCAGTTGGAAGAATTCGAATTAGAGCAGTTTGCTGTGAAGAGTGGGCCAAATTGCCAGTAGAAAGGTGCAGCAAGCTCATTGATGGTACAAGAAGCGTTTGTCTGCAGTTGGCCAAAGGCTGTAATTTTGTCGATGTCAGTTGTATTTACTTTCTAAATGAGTAGTTTACAAAAATACAATGGGTTCTGCAATGTTGAAAATCCAAGGTTTGGAGACAAAGTTCTCCATTTTAAATTATTTTAGAAGAAAAATAAAATTATTTGAGAAGTGCAAGGGTACCAATTATATTTGGCTGCAACTAGTTTGTTACAAACCTGATTTTTACACTGGGGATGAAAACAATGTTGCACATGGTTTGACTTTTGGGATTTAATTAACCTTTTGTCTATTTACAATAAATAATAAGGTGCATATTTTGTATACTTTTGTTTGATCAAGTTTTGTAAATGTCTAAACTCAGTGAAAATCTTACGGGGCACTATTCAAACAGAGGACCATGGTAATGTTGAAACGTCCATAATATTACCACCACCAGGTGGCATTGGTCATCAATTAATTGACTGAATGCAAAATGTTCGTTCCCCCATCATATAGGTTCAAATAGCTCTATACATCCTTGTTTTTGCTCTTATGACTACAGGATGGGATAAATATTAATTGCAAGTTATTTTAGCATCTACACGCCATTAATTTGTCTTTTTGGCATGGATTGTTCTGCTAATCCCAAGATTATGGTTTCTTATGAATCTGTGTCCATTAAATATCTAAACTCCAACAACAATGGTGAAGATCAAATCGATACATTTGAAGGTTAGGAATTTATGCTATTCTGTGTTTTAATCCCTGGGCACGGAGTTCTAGACGAAGCGCATTGGCCGCAGACAAGCGCACAGTCCTCATTGGCCCATACTTTTTGTCCATCAGAGAACAGGGCCCGCCTACCCTTTATAAACAGCCAGACATCAACAATCCGAGATATAGTTCATTTGGTGCATCCTACACGTTGAACAGAGACACGAACGCCGTTGCGCCCTTTAAACAAATGGTTGTCCAAGTAAATCCGCCCACTCGCCACTACAGCAAAACAATGGAAGGAAGTCAGCAAAAGGTGGAGGCTAATGTCTTACTACTTGGAGCTGAAAGCGTCGGTAAATCTGGTGAGCACAATTTAATTAATCCTTGAAATTTAATTGCACTTTTATTAATGAAGAGCGACTTTTTGTGATCTTTGAAAGTAGACCGGAGTTATGACGGCCAAATGCAATGTGAAATGTATTTCCTGGTGTAATACATTTACTGATGAACATGTCTCATTAATTGCGCTATTTTCTGTCCTCAGCTCTCACGGTGCGGTTTCTTACTAGAAGGTTTATCGGCGAATACGGCGATATTGGTAAGTGCTGGTATTTTGACTTGATCCATTGATAATGATATAATTGCATTCAAATCAATAGGTTACAGTAGATCAAACCAAATATCTAAATGGTCCGTTATTTTTGCCTTTACAGAATCCATCAACAGTCATACTGACCGAATAGACGGACGGGAGATCTGCTTCAATATCTGGGACTCGCTTTGCCCCCAGGTGAGGGAAAACATCCTATATAATTTAGGCTACATGATGATAATAACGTTATAGTGGTCACAACAAAGACTTTCACTAGTGGATACTCAAACATGCAGAGCATTCTGGAGTTTTTCTATTCAACAAGGAGGTTAAAATGTTCACTAAATAACTGTATTTTGTCTTCATGTGTTTTAGAATGGTGAGGTCGCGGGACACATCAGCGACAGACAACTCCAGTGGGCGGACGGTTTCATCCTGGTTTACAGCATATGTGACCGTGCCAGCTTCAACGTGGTGCGGCAACAGGTGCAGCGCGTCCAGCAAGCCAAAAGCAAATTCCCCGGCGCCCCTCCCATCATCATCGTGGGGAATAAACGTGACCTCCAGCATCGCCGCACCGTCTCCAGCGAGGAAGGACGCCTCCTCGCACTTTCCACAGACTGTGGCTTCTTTGAGATCTCTGCAGCGGAGACATACCACGAGGTACAGCTGGTATTTCACGAACTGCTCGACCTTATCCGAGAGGCGAGGGCGCTCAAGAAGGGTGCAGCTGGGATCAAGGGTATTGTGAGAAGCATGTCCGCAGTTTTCGGAAGGAAGAGGACTGAGTAGTTCCAATAGCCTAATACGAGAGACATTGAGATGTTACTGTAATTATGCATCTAAACGGCCCAGGACTTGTCCATGTGTAAAGTGGATGGTTATGTTTCCATATTGGAATAGGTCAATGCGCAGCGCTATGATGTAGGCCTAACTGAACACAAGCCGGTTGGATTGTTACTCAAATGAGATGACTGACAATCAAATCCTGTCAAACTGACATGGGCCTTTGGACAACATACTTACTGCAGAAGAAGTACTCTTGAGTGACTATGAGGTCAGGTGGCCTAAAGTAGCATTACATGCCCTTAAATTGCCAACTTGTTAGATTGCCATGTAACATGCCATACAATTGCCAACTGTAATGCAGATGGTCTCTTGTTTAAATGCCTGGAAGAAGTATTGTGGAAAACCTATGTGCAATAGACAATTTATTTCTCTTCACAAATCTGTATCAGCATGCAGAAAGTTCTAAGGGTCAGGCCTGCTTGGTCTTATCATTGGCACAATCCCTTTTTGGACTATTGACAATCTATGCAAGACAGACAAGCGAATGTGTAATATTATAATGGTGTGATCATTAAACTTGCTGTCTTAGTTGGTATACATGTAGCCTCCAGTAGCTTTGCTGCGTTTCCATCCATGGTACCTACATCAATCACACTTCAAGGCATCTTGAAAGGCCAGCCAGTTGGGGACCATTCTCTGTTCATCTTTAGGACGTTAATTAATGTCAATACCCTCTATTGAGTGTGCTGTACATTTTACATCTTTGAAGAATGCAGAGGCCTACTTGACTTTTTCATAGGGGTGTTAATGCAGTGGGCAAACTTCTTGTCTATTTCAATAGCCTACTACTGATTCCTATCATGTTTTTTTGGTAACTTTTCATAAACTATGAAAACTGAAGTCATGTTTGTTATACAAGTCATTAGACTTTAACTGTACAAAGTGTGCATACCACAGAACTTGGTCCTACGATTTCTAAATAAAATGTGAAATTAATGCTTAAGTGAAGTCTTTTATATTTTTTCAAGCACTGTATTTGTCAAGCCATGCCGGAGATCATCTTAATGCGCTGTAAGAGGGGAACATCTTCTCACACAATCCAACTAGAGGTAAAGATTAACCAAGTCACATCTTACTCCTCTCCCCAGATACTTAACAAATTACTGACAGAAAATCTAAACTAAGGTTTCCAAGGTTATTCTGACAGAAATACATTGAATTCCATTATATGAAGGGTTAAAACACACCAAACATGAAATACAAGACCATTTCAAAAGCACAAAAATGTGTTATTTAAAAAGTTATCCTTTTATCATGCTCTCTCATAAATCCTAAATCTCTCAAATTCTGTCAATGCAGTGCCAAGATAGCTGAACTGAGCTTTCCAAACCTAATCCCATAGACTCACTATGGCGACGGCAGCCAGACCCCATCAACGTTTAACTCCTAACTAAGGTCAACGACAAGGGAAATGCAGTCAATCACCCTGAAGCCCTTGCACTTAAGCTCTGCCTTCAAAGCCATTTCCCCGACTGAATTCGACTTCTCTGACCAAATGAAACAGGAACAAACGAAGATCCTCGTCCATATCAAAAGAGGGGCGCTCGTGCCACCTCATCGCCCCCTTATTTACTCACAACACACACTCACAGGTTCACTCATACACTTGACCTTGTGGGACCAGACAGGATCTAAGTGTGGGATGCTGACTGACTGACTGACTGTTGTGGCCAAACATGGGAGTTCTCTAGTCATAACATGTTGACCCCAGCAGAAACCATGTCTCAAGGGACAGTTTGGCTTAAGGGGTAGGGAGGCTATGTGGGGTGCTTTGATTATACTGTGAGTAGAGAGATGCACATCCAGCAGGAAGGCTATGTAAGCAAGGTACTGATGAGCAGTTGATTAGTAGAATCAGGTGTTATTGTTCAGCAGGGCTGGAGAAGAATCCTGCATACCCAGTAATTCTCCAGGAGGAGGGTTATCCACTCCTGCAATAACAAGCAATGGGGGATTTCACAATGACAGACACTGCGCTTGAGGCAGTCCCAAGAGGTACTGGTGTCCACATGTCTAAACATGGTGTTAAAACGTGTCCTTTATATGTCCACTGTGTCCTCATTGTGACCAGATTTCCTGGTCCCTCCCTCTATGCAAATTATTTGACAGATATTCTTTTAATAATAATATTTATTTATTTACTTTAAGACATATTGTTGCCATTAGACAATGGTGCCAGCTGTCAATGATTTTGGGATGGTATAATGATGATTTAAATGGTTTTACTTTCCAGATCGGTCTACACTTGTAAGATATCAACTGTCCTCTGTAGCTCAGCTGGTAGAGCACGGCGCTTGTAACGCCAGGGTAGTTAGTGGGTTTGATCCCCGGGACCACCCATACACAAAAATGTATGCACGCATGACTGTAAGTCACTTTGGATAAAAGTGTCTGCTAAATGGCATATTATTATATCCAGTGACAGTCCGTGCCTGACTACCTCTGGAGGTGGGCAGGAAGATCTGATTACACACAATGATGCTGTATGAAAATAGATATACACATCTCAACCATATCTCATACACATAATACTGTAATACATTAGCCACGCATGTCCATGGAGTTAAGGATGAACTAAAGGGATAGTTCACCCAAATTACAAAAAGGCATATTGGTTTCCTTACCCTGTAAGCAGTCTGTGGACAAGGTATGAGAGCAATCTATGCTTTGGTTTCCAAATGTTAATGTTTTAGCATTTGTGGCGCAAATCTCATTCAAGTCGTGACCGATATTAGCATTTTTCAAACATTATGTCCAAATCATTCAAAAGTATCTAAAATGTATTGTGAAGCTCAACACAGTCACTTATAGATGATTTGAACATGATGCACGAAAATGCTAATATCAGTCCCATGACTGTTAGCATTTGGAAACGGTGCCAGCCACTGCCAGGGAAACTAAACCAAAGCATTGATTGCTGTCATACCTTGTCCTACAGACTGCTTACAGGATAAGGAAACCGATGTGTAATTTTTGAATTTTGATGAACTATCCCAGGAGGGAGGACCACACTTGTATAATGCACATCATATATACTGAGTACAACATACATTAGGAACACCTCAATATTGAGTTGCCCCCCCCCCCACCCCACCCCCCCACCCTTGCCCTCAGAACAGCCTCAATTCGTCAGGGCATGGACTCTACTTGGTGTCAAAAGCATTCCACAGGGATGCTGGCCCATGTTGACTCCAATGCTTCCCACAGTTGTGTCAAGTTGGCTGGAAGTCCTTTGGGTGGTGGACCATTCTTGATATACATGGGAAACAGTTGAGCGTGAAAAACCCAGCAGCGTTGCGGTTCTTGACATAAATTGGTGTGCCTGGTACTTACTACCATACCCTTTTCAAAGGCACTTAACCTTTTTTGTCTTGCCCATTCACCCTCTGAATGGCACACATACACAATCCATGTCTCAATTGTCTCAAGGCTTAGAAATCCTTCTTTAACCTGTCTCCTCCCCTTCATCTACAATGATTGAAGTTGATTTAACAAGTGACATCAATAAGGGGTCAGCTTTCACCTGGATATGTCATGGAAAGATCAGGTGTTCTTAATGTTTTGTACACTCAGTGTACAGTTCAAGTACATGTATTTAGAATGAAGTACTATCAGTATGCCATACTGCATACAGTATGTAGCTACCACAGCTTCTGCCATCCCATTAACAGTGTCCATGGAGACCAACAGCGATACCGGGAATGTACAGCTCTGGCAGGGGTGGGAGTGAGGGATTTCCTTTTTTTCTCCATGGCAACTATTATTTTTCCAAGGTGTTTGCCTGTTGCATACAGTATGTGATGTAATGTATCTGGGAGAGGGGGTGGGGCAAATGCGGCTATTGGGTTAGATGTTCTGAGCCGATACACAAATTAAATGTCTTGAGAACCATTCGTTTAGAACATTGTCTCCTGTTCTGAAATCCACCCCCTCCCACTCCCTTCCACCCCCCGAAAAATGTGACGCAAGCACAACAAACGCTAGGATCTTCAGCGCTTCAATCAGTACTCATGAATATGGATGTGAAGGTTCATGGCAAGAACAACACCATTGTTGACACTTGTCTGTAAGGAGTGGGAGGGATTGTGCCAGTTGGAGAGCAGGTTGCTGTGCCACACAGACTAAGAGCTGTCACGATGTCATCGTTGTGGGACGGAACGGAGAAGGGAAACACGGTGTCCATGGCAACCAGTGCCGTCACTGTTGCCAACGCTCTCTTGCCCACGTCATCAAGAAAGCAAGCAAGCATCGCCGGGAAGATCCCACAGAATGAACTCTACTTCCGATCAGCAGTGGGGGGTTGAGAGATTAAGGTCACGTTGGTGAGAGATAGTGGGCGTCTTTTTCTCTGAATATATTTTAGTCATTTAGCAGACGCTCTTATCCAGAGCGACTTACAGTTAGTGAGTGCATACATTTTTCATACTGGCTCCCCATGGGAAACGAACCCACAACCCTGGCGTTGCAAGCGCCATGCACTACCAACAGAGCTACAGGGGACCTGCAAGGATTCTCCGGAAGCCCCGGGGGTTTCACCTGTGCCAGCAAACGAGGAGCACAGAAACACACCTCGCAGCTTCTTGCAGGCACGTTGTTAACACACACACACACACACACACACACACACACACACACACACACACACACATACACATACACATACACATACTCCCCCCACATACACACATACCCACATACCCACCACAGCCTCCTCTAAGTCAATGACGCTGATTCACAAGGCCGGAGAGACCAGCTTGTCTGTAGTACACATGACTGTTCATTCACAGACAGGATGTGGTGTACTAGCTGCCTGAGTCATGCAAGTGTCCAGGGCCAGGCAGAGGCTTACAGCCCCAGCTACTGGGGGGTGGAAGAGGGAGAGGGGACTGGGATATGTCCGGGATTGAGGGCCCGCAGATGGGAGGTTCACATTACCAGTAGACCTCCGGTTGGATGGAGAGAACGTGGGATTGAGAGAGCACAGAGATTTGATTACTGTTATCTAATAAGGCCCTAGGGAAGAGGATATTGGCCTGCCTTGACCATCATTGGTGATCCTGGAGAGAGAGAGTGAGTGCGTAAGTGTGTGGGTTAGGGCAAGCAAAGGAAAACAAAAATTGTTGTTTCTTAATGGACCAGCCCAGTTATTCCCTCCCTGTTTCATTTTCGTTTGTTCCCGTTGCTGCGCAATGAACACGACCCAGGCCAACTGCATTGTGCAACTGGGACCAATCAATAACGACCAGACGGCAGGCAGGCATGAACAACATGGATGACATGCATGTCAATACTATCGGACACGTAGTAAAACAGAGCAATGTCCAGTCATGCCCCTCGAACGTCAATGGGTGAAATCCATTAAGAACGTTTATTTACTGTATTACAGAAGTTATATTGAATTGTGTTTGGTTGACAATGCAACCAAATATCAACATTTAAAAGGATACGTACAGTGGGGAGAACAAGCATTTGATACACTGCCGATTTTGCAGGTTTTCCTACTTACAAAGCATGTAGAGGTCTGTAATTTTTATCATAGGTACACTTCAACTGTGAGAGACGGAATCTAAAACAAAAATCCAGAAAATCACATTGTATGATTTTTAAGTAATTCATTTGCATTTTATTGCATGACATAAGTATTTGATCACCTACCAACCAGTAAGAATTCCGGCTCACACAGACCTGTTAGTTTTTCTTTAAGAAGCCCTCCTGTTCTCCACTCATTACCTGTATTAACTGCACCTGTTTGAACTCGTTACCTGTATAAAAGACACCTGTCCACACACTCAATAAAACAGACTCCAACCTCTCCACAATGGCCAAGACCAGAGAGCTGTGTAAGGACATCAGGGATAAAATTGTAGACCTGCACAAGGCTGGGATGGGCTACAGGACAATAGGCAAGCAGCTTGGTGAGAATGCATCAACTGTTG